GACTGACGTGCAGATTTTAAGGTCATCAGCGAAAAACAAATGGAAACACTTTAGTTCAAAAGACAAGTCATTAATAAATATCAAAAACAATAATGGACCTAGGTTTGACCCTTGAGGTACCCCCGATAGTAACTCGACCTATGACCACCATATTCGACAAATAACCGTATCCCTCAAATATGAATTCATGAGCGACAGCATTGCATCAGACATACCCACTGTTTTAAGCTTATCCAGAAGTGCATAATGATCTACTTGATCAAACGCCTTCTGAATATCTGTGTAGATGACATCAACTTGTCCCTGACCGTCCAGTACTTCAGAAATGTACTGAGTAATTAGAGCCAAGTTGGTGACCGTTGATCTGCCTCTCATAAACCCATGCTGATTAATAGAGACTGACCAAGCTGTAAACCGTTTCATAAGCGATGATCTCAAACAACTTGCTGAAATTGCACAGGATTGCTATTTGGCGATAGTTGGAAATATCAGAGATATCTCCACTTTTGTGAATAGGACTTATTTTAGCGGTCTTCCAGATATTTGGATATGTCTCTGATTTTAGAATTAGGTTGAATATGGAAGCCAGCGGTTTCGCTAGTATATGAATGCAATCTTTAACGAAAAAACTTGGAATACCATCACATCCAGACGTCACTTTGTTCTTTAATCTTTTCTAAGCCCTAATTACGTTTTCTTCACTTATATTTTTTAAAGTAATGATATCGGTAGAGTTATTTGTTGGAAGAGATGACCCTAGTAGACCAGACGGGATAAAAACTGTTGAAAAGAAGGTAGCAAAACTGTCCACTATATCCTGAGGCGTATCGCAGACACTGCCGTTAAGCGTCATCCTTGGGGGATTCTAGATTGCTGTTTTTTGATCTGGGCAAATGACCAGAATTTGCTAGGATCATTGACAATGGCATTCTCAACCGATTCAACGTAAGCGGAGTAGGCAACACTGATCTGGTTCTTATATACGCCACTGTCCCAAATCATAACAATTTTTCGAAACTGAACGATTATCCAATCGATCTAAAAAACATCTGCTTAAACCATACGCACAACAAAAAAAACTTGATCCAATTTTAGCCCGCTCGATACAGATCGTGGATTACCTCACTGTTTTTTAGCGAACTATGTCCAACATACACACGCTACGTCAGACCACGTCTGAAATAAACTAATGCCATTCTAGGGAGGCTATGATCGCGGCTCGCGCTCATCGATGACGTCACAGCGGACGGCGCGACTTTTGCCAAATTTCCCGGCCCACGAATCTAGCCAGCGCTAATTCGGATAAGCGGAAAAACGGGAGAAAGGTAAATAAATAATGTGGGAAATGTGTATGCAGCTCAGTATTGTGTGGGTGAAGCGGCGAGTCGCGCGAAAGAAAAAGGTAGGTGGAGGTTCCTGAACTCGACAATAAACATTCACTAATTCATCACTGCATCATGTGGACGATAATTGCACATTTGGCAACGATGGAGCAATTATCTGGACGAAGTTTTGCAACGCCTCCTCTAACTAAAGCTGACCAGTGGAATGGTAGGTAGTGAGCACCAAGACCTTTTCATATCTGAAAATAAAAAAGATCTAAATTACTTATTTACGGATATACCGGAAGATTTATCGTAGCACACCACATCTTTAATATCACATATCTCAAGCATTATTGGAATTGAAATTCACTCATTTTCTACGAAATAGGAAATCCAGAGCATACCTTACAAGCTGTGGCCCTTAATAAAATACAAGGAAATAAAAGCACTAAACCCGACCGTAGAATTCCCAAGACATCTTTAGTTCAATATCAAGCATATTTTGTCAAATTTTTATGAAATCAAGTTGACGACTCTTACAATTTTAAGTCTTGTTTCACTTAAACTGCGCTAAAAATAAGGTATTTGACTTAATAAAAATCAAACAAAAAACGGAAAGAGGCGCAATCAATATACTTTACTAATTAACTAGCATCATTCATTGACCTTTTTTTTGTAAATAGTCATACATTTCAATAGTCAGCTTAAAAGGTGTTGATTTTGATAAAAGGTGAAAAAGTCGAGTTTTTTTTAACAAAATCTTTTCAATAGTGCCTGAGATATGTGATATTAAAGACTTGTTGTTCTTAAAGGAAACGAAATAACGAATTTAGAACTTTTCATTTTGAGATAAGAATCTCTCGGTCCTTACCAGTTCACTATGTCCATTAAGTACGGAAGACCTACCAAACATACTGTTTTCTGTTATCCGACCGAATGCAACCAACCATGGACATCTGTTTTGTGCTTTTTCGCTACTCATCAGCATGGTCTAGACTTGATGTCTGGGACAAAAAGCTATCGGTCCGAACTGAAAAGATCTCAGTTCGAGTCTGATAACCCAGTCACACTGCGACCACTAAAGGCTGATGATTCTGGCGGTATAATAGATGTGGTCAATTAAACAACTTAACGAGTGACATATGTATCTTATTGATTTCTTAGAAGTAGATCTAGGGAAATATTGCATCTACTGTATACACTGGGTAGTATAATGTGTTTTTCAAAAAGGTATCTCCCTCATTTTTTGAAAGAGTACCCCACCGAGATCTCCTAAAGCCATCATTACAGGCTTAAGACGGCATCGCGTAAAACCGTCCAGGAACGTCTGGCGTTGGCATTCCCGCTTCCTAAAGATGTACTGCCCCCTCCCCGAGCATGATGTTATCTAACGTTTTGGATGAATCAGACACGTCACCCTCGCCCGTCGTCCCGAAACGCCAAACGGCTTATAATAATTGATTCACTAAGTACCCATTATAATGTTAATAAACACTAGCCATCCTCCAGTAAATGTAGTATACAAATACTTTTAAATGTGGTATTATTCTTCTAGGTACTGTTCGCCTTGCTTTTCTTTGCTAGTAGAAGCTACCAACTTAACGTAGGCGGAAATCACATTCTAAGTCTCAGCTGGACATTTGTCTCAGCCAAGAATATGTTGGTAATATACATACAGAAAGTTATAGAACATATAGACAATGTCATCTTGATATGTACTTGTACTGAAAAGAGTAATTTCTAATTTCTGTATGTGGTTTCATCAAAACTTAAAAAGTATGAAAACCACAGAACAAATTTCAAATGTTACACTAGCCGTGATCGTATCTGATCAAGAAGTTTTATTTGATTCTGCAGATTGTCCACACGATTTTGTGCGCCCGGGTCAAAATCCTGCGGTGACGCAAGCAAAGCTTCAATTTTCCTTTCTTGGCTATTTTCACTTCTTAATCCCCCAATGGCTATCTTTAATTGAGTGGTATTCGGACTTTCCCTTACGGACAATGCTTAGCTCAGCGGTAAATTGGAAAAATAACTCTTGCAGCATCAATGAAACACCTCCTGTCAAGTGGAAAAGCTCCGGCGTCTTCCTTCTTAAATATAGAAGCGCGTAGGTTGCCCCTCAGTTTTTCATTCTTTCCTTCATCAAGCGAAACACGATCAATATCGAATTAAATTTGCTGACAGAAGGAGGAACGTCCTGTTCGCTTCTTGGATACTTGGATATATATATATATATACGACTTATTACAAAAATTAATTGAGTTGAGTCTAGATGCTCTGGTCAAATGGAATGGATATACCTTTGCAATCAAAGAACGGTAAATATACGGTTTCTTGGAGTAGGTACATTTAGTTATGTCGGCAGATTTTTAATCTTACCTTTCCGAAAATAGCAATTCTGAAGTAACATAGCTATACGAAGAACAGTATTGAGTATGGACAATATAGTCGGGGCAGCAGAACACCTAGTCATATGAACAGCACTCGAAGAAGTCATACCGAGAGAAGTACTTCTTAAGCCCAAGCTAATAAGCTAGCTTTTCACCGGCAGCTGCTCCACTAGATATGTTCGTCCCAAATCAAATCCTCGGTGATATGGTCTCCAGCCAGCAGAAGTTATTGGCTCTTTGGCAGATATCATCCATCTATCGAAACCGGATGAGCACTAGGGCGCTTCTTGTTAGACAAGAGCGTCAAGGTACAGTACCGTGTTTTATTGCACCTCAAAGCGGTGATAACTTCAAAGAATTTCGTCAGAGATAACGTCACTACTAGTCTTCTCTCCAGCGCATCAGCAGAGATCAGCATGCAACACTGTACTACGAGTAAAGTGCTGACATTGGCAAAGCTGTGTAAGGGATTGATACTGCGGGAGAGGGGTCGTTGATATTTTATAGAAACAATATTGGGGCCAAAGCGGATCCTTGTAGAACACCTGCGTCGGTACTGTGAGGCGAAGAGGAGAAATTGCCAATTGCTTCTCTGGGAGTCCATAGGGCAGCATGCCGTAGCTTATCTAAAGCTTTCATGATGTCAAGAGTAACGACGTGTGCCTCACCATATGACTGCCGAATCGATTGGGTGAAAATAGATGACGCACATGAGTATCTAGCGTGGGCGCCACGTGGCGTGTAAGTAAACTGAGCTACTTAGTTATGAATGAATTACGAAGAACCCTCAAGTGGTGCATTTTTATAGCAATAACGAGCTTATTGGTTTCACATTACATATCTTACGACGAGGTGCCTCAAGGTTTCTGATACTCCGCGATTGTATGTGTTGTGTTGTGTGTTTTACTGAAAGTCTCCATCTTGCGCCGCATTAGTTTGTTTATCGCATACAAAGGCCGTCTGTTGGAACATCAAGGATCGAAACTGTATTCAGTCCTTGTGCTGTTTAGCCTTATCTCAGATGGGTGGTTGGAACTTTCTTGGTCTCCGTTTCTTCTTTCTTGGAGTTCCTTGCTGTCACCAGCACTTCTCCCACTTGTTGGTTTTACAGCATGTATTCTCAATAGGGCAACGAGTACTATAAATAGGTTGATATTATGCGAAAATACTCACGGAGGACTAGTTCACACACTGGTTTTTATTGGACTTATATCTAAATTGCGTTTCTAACGATATATTCGTACCTTCCCGATGCACACGGTAGAATACGGAGAACTACGGCGCTGGAACGTTCTGGCAAATTACCATTCTTGTGCAGCCTGTAAAGCGTTATAAAGTGCTTTATTTTTATCTGTCTTGCCTATAAAAATTACAGAAAATTTGCCTACCTACATTTTTAATTACACTGAAAAAATCAGAAACAGACATTTTCCTGAAATCACGTTTTAGTGACCTACGACCTTTTCCGTTTTTTTCAGTCTTCATTTATTTATACCCATTTTTTCACCATCTCTAAAATGTTTCCCGTTGCTATTGTCGTTTCCACCAGGCGGCTTGGCGTTGCGCACCCACGCGCTGCAAATCAAAAACAAGAATATCTCCACCTACGTGTTACATAGCCCTACAGGTACTTGTTGACAAAAGGCCGTTGCCTTTCGATGTTCGGTCTCGGCCGGCTTTGGCTTTTGTCCCTTTTCCCGGAGTTGACCTTGAAATCGGGAGTTTGCTGTAAATATCATTTATATACTGCGTAGCAATTGTAACTACCATGTACAAACTACCCGGTACTTGAAGTATGCTTAACTACCCGGTACTAAGGAATTAATCTATCCGTTACTTATATCTTCCGTTAGTTTCTTCATCGGTGCAACAGACCATCACGATGGGTACTACCGGACTACCTACAGAATAACACTGTAATAGTGCGTTATGGAAATAATTAATTACATCATATCCTATACTCTAATATTTTGAGTCACTTAAATCTGAATAAAATTCTTGTAATTGATTTGACTACCTATTGATAGGTGGTGGTATAGTTAAATTAAAATAAGTGCAGTTGCCAGTGATGGCGGGTTTCAGCTTGTTTAATTTTGCTCAACGCTGGGGATTCAAGTTTCTAACTGACCAACTATGAATTAGGATAGCCTAATAATATACAACTAAAGTGCGAAACATTAGACATAATTAGAAGAAAATTAAGAACTTTCGAAAATCATGATCGTTATAAAATGGAAAGACAGCTATTTTACCAGGATTACCACATACCAGGGATGAAATCCTGCCGAAATCTGGTAAGTTGGATTTAGTAAGCATTTCCTTCATTACCATTGAGACACATCTTCTGGTAGAATGTTTAGGATTTGGTGGACCCAAAAAAAAGTTTTGGGAGTTCATACGTTCCCATGATATGCTGTCTGAACTGTTTTTTGCACACTTGTATGTTTGTACTGTAATTGGAAAGATAGTTGTCATGTAGAAAGAGACCAACAGTCACTGTCAAAGTAACTGAACGATTCTGTATTTAAGGTCAGGTTTTACTAACTCTAAATAATGAGTTAAATGGTGACTTTGGATTTGACCTTGAGCACCACCTTAAAGGTTATTTCAAGGTCACCTTTTGTTTTTTAAATAGAAGGCTACCTTTTTACACCGGCAATCGAAATTACGGACAATTCTACGTCTGAATATGCATTAAAATCTGAAGCAGTGCCTGGAAACGCAAATGAAGGTCATATGTGTGAGACTACGGAAGATTTTTAAAATTGCAGCAGCATAATTGATGAAAAACTGAAGGTCAAGCTTTTAGTAACTTCCAACAAAAATTTAAATATTGACCTTGGATTTCACCTAAATCATCACCTTCAAGGTCATAACAGCACATGAAATGGCCTTGAAGGTGAGGTTGAATCTAAAGTCACCATTGAAAACTGTTAAATATTACTAAGTGCTTGTCATTAAGATATTTTTTCCATCAATAATCACGATGAACTTCTAGGAATGGTCCCTAGCTTCACGCAATTGACCTTCATTAGATCTTAGGGGGGACCTCGACCTTAAATATTAATATAATAATATAAAATAACGTTGAAGGAGAGGCTCAAGGTCAACGTAAGAAAAGGCCTGGTAAATCAACAACTGAAATTCATCTTGTGATTTTCAGGCTGATAGGACATCTTGCCCCTAAACGAAACCACAATCATATTATGTGTGAATTACGTTGACAAGAAGTAATTCACACATATGTGGTTTTATTTGATTAGAGCCCGAAGACCTGACCTTGACCTTCTTCAAAGACCTGGGAAAATATCCGCATTCGCCGGGGTTACCCAACGTTGGCGCTGAATGATAACATATCACACTATGTTGGTTCCAATGTGTGAATGCGACAATACACCCCCGTATATGATCCGCCATGATAATTTTTACATCTGGTTAAAAATGCTGTCAACCAATATACTAATCGAAATGATAATTTCGACACTTGGCCCCAGATTTTATAATCTTTCACCTGCCACGCCCAGAGCGGAAGTACTCCAAGATATCAATAGTACCTAACTGGTTCAGCTTTCGTAACCACCCCTCAAAGTTGGGTATCCTGCAGGGATCGGTTTTAGCCCCAGTACCGTTTCTGTTACAGATTTATGATGAGTTGACAAAATTTCATATATTGCGTCGAATCATTTGTTTCATTTACAGTTTTTCCCAGATGTATGAGTATTTTGTAATACACGCAGTAATTGCATGCTATAACACAGCTCTATACAAATATTTTGCGTTCTCAAGTGCGACATCGGGTATAGAAAAATATTACATGGAAAACTTAGAAGACACTATAACTTTTATCCACAACTTGATCTTCTAGAAGGTTCTATAAAAGTTAGGGGGGGATCAATTCCTAACCGGACACCCTGTACATCACAAAAAACCATATCACTCATTTGCGGTCTGCCTGTTCGCTAATCCTTGGCCCGTCTATAACTTGTTGTATAAAGTTCCGCTCGGATTTTGATGAAATTTTCACACAAGGTTACTACTATACCAAGGATGAGAAAACTTTGTACTCTTTGAAAAGCGGTGCAGTGCGACGAACCTAACGACAAAAAAATCTAAAACGCTAAAACTTTGTTTTTAGACATTTCATATGCTCCCGATTATTTTTGGTAATACTTTTGTAAGGGTTAAAAATTGGAGGTTGGGCATTGTAAAGGGTATATTGAATTTTTTTCGTGTAAATATATATACACGGTAACTCTATCCACCTTCAAGACATATTTCACACATCGTAGATTGCCTTGTACATTCGCCCTTAAAAAATGATAGATAAATATTTTCAACACACCACACAAGTCTCTGAATATATCTACGTCGCGGTCTGAGAGTGTCACCGATAGATGGCTGCAGTTGCTGGCGAGTGGAGAAGTTAGTCATAGCAACGTCCCCAAAAGCTCGGTACTGTCGGTACTGAAGAAATTTCTAGATCGCAACGTTCTCAAATGGATGGGGACTACGAAATATTTGCATGAGAAACTTGATCCAGTTAATTATTTTGTTATAAATGTTCGTGCCGAGCTTTTTTTTCAGAGAGGCAACTTGTGTCGAGCAATCCTTTTCGAAACGATGACAGCTTTTCGTGGGAAATGCAGAGTCAATTTGCTCGACGTCAATTTTTTAAAAAACCGACAGAAGCTAACATTTGCGTATTAGTGTATTTGAACCACGGTTTATCTTATTTTCAGAAACATTTGCTCCCAAAAATATGAGTTCCTGCATACGTTGCTCGTAGCATTTAAAGTCCGGCGAAACCAAAGGTCTGTTGCGAAGCCCAAGAAAGTTACCAAAAATAGCCCGGTGCCCACCTGGAAAAGCGTTCCGGCGTGGCGGGCGGCGCGTTAACCATGACAACGACCAACGACGCGTCGGTGACGTCGTCTCCATAGAGCTGATCCGCCGTGGATGCGGGGGCGCCTCGGCGCTCGCCGGTTCAGCCTCTGCTACGTACGGCGGCAATGTGTGGGCCCCAAGAAGGCCTGTCCATGCCCGCCACGACGCACCACGCGAGCTCATTCATTCAAGTTCCGCTCGCTGACTGGCCATCCGACGCCAAACGTACCGCGATACATTCACGCACCGCACCATCAACTAGGGAAAACTCTTTCTCTAGCACGGGCCCTTCTCAAGGTCGCAGAACAGGTGTCTCGAGGGCTGTGTTTAGTGATGATAGTGATTGTTTAGTGAACGTGGCAGAAATGTGACGTTGCAAGCTGGATCGCCATTGGATTTTATTGGACATAACCTCAAAGTGAGTTTTCGCTTTCACTTTCAAAGTTCGATCCGTGCTGTTAACTGCTCCATCTTATGCTGTGGGCATACGAGACCTGCGGAGAGAGCCTCGTTTTGATAGGAGGCTCGAAAATCAAACGAAATTTAAAATAAAATATTCAAATACCCCCTCCCGTACTTTGATGTTTGTCAACTTCAAAGGACAGCCCTGCTCCCCGCATATCTGTCTGGCCTGGGGTCCCTTCAGTTGTAGGCACCGGGCTTTCAGTGTGCCTGGGGTACCCTACAACCTATAAAACGATAGTTTTGTGTAATGCGAGATAAAAATTAGGAAATAATCTGCTCAGCTTTCCAAATAAAGTATCAGCCAGAGTTTGCATCATCATAAAGTACCCCTGTTTAACAGTGATATAGCTATTGGCGCAGATACCCATTTAACTCTCGATAGTAAAGTTGAAAATATTTCTGCGTCACCTAAGCTTGTATGTTACACGTTGCATTGGGCTTTAAACATCCATCTGGTACTATAATACTACATGCGAATCTTCAAAAACAACTTCGAGAAATCAATACACGCCAAGTCAAGTAGAGTAGCCGTGTTCTAGCGATGATTTTCAAACGGTGTGCAACTGCCAATCAGTTGACCAAACGAATTTCCACAAAAGGGGCACTCACATCCTTGCGTCAAATTAAATTGATTAACTGCTTTCAAACGTCCACAAACGTCATAAAATCTTTGCCAGAACGTCACATTCAGGCACCGCAATATGAAGTAAGAAAAACTCAATCTCTCGCACGGGCCCTTCTCAAGATCGGACAACAGATGTCTGGAGTAGAGCTAGGTTAATCAGTTCCTTTTGGTGATTCGATTCCAATGTTTCGTTCTCAGGCTAGGAATCGGTTGCTTAGATTCGTCTACTCTGACCTTGGAACCGATTCGTACCATTCATTCACATATCCAATACCTTTCGATTCCAATTCACTGTAATTTGTATGCAATGCAAGGGAACGAAACTGTTTCAAGTAAGTTTATAAAAAAGTCTCCCATGTTTTCTATAAAAGTCTGAATTTGCTTGTGGTCCCCTTAATATGAATTGCTGGGTAATAGATGTACTCGTTAACCTGATATTTAACATTTTTTAAAGTCGAAAACTGAACACAGACCAAAGTTTTCGCAAAGTATGCATCAAAATGTCCAAAACAACATATTCCAAACTCTAAAATGTTGCATTTATATGAGTAGAATTTGCGTGGAATAATATTTCCTTGTTAAAAATAAGATATTGAAAACACTAAATGGCAACTAAGCATAAATTCGAGAATCATCTACACAGAAAACGTGATTATCCCATACCAGATCATTAATTATTTCGTTCTTCGACTGAAACCGCTGTAAGTAAAAGCGTTAGTGCCACTATTCTTATTGCAGCAATATTCAAATCCGAACAGTATCCCTCTGTTCAGCTTGTCTAAATCTGATCCGACTCGGTAGGAAACGAATCCACCTGAATCAAAACCGTCGTAATCGAACCATCAGAATCGATTCTTCCGGATCCATTCGTTCAGAACTGATCCAGCTCTAGTTTGGAAGACTGTTTGTAGTGATGATAGTGATTGTATAATGTTGCAGAATTGTGGCGTTGCAAGCTAGATTCTAATTGGATTTTGTTGGACACAACCTCAACCTAAGTTTCCGCTTTCATTTCAAAGTTCATTTCCTACTGTTAATCTATAAAACTACTACCTGCGAAAGTCTGTGTGATAGGCCAGAAAATGGGTAGTTTCTTTCTACAATTCTGGCGACAGTAAATTTTTTAGTGGCATAGTTACATCATTGCTTCCTAATTGGCTGGAGCATTTACCGACATTTTGAACAAGATTGACTCGACACTTTCTACGCAACCCTGTCATCAGTTCATAGAAGATTATATTGGACACAAGCGAGAAAAAGTTAGCTATGGACATCTGTAACAAAGGAATTAAATGGATCATGTCAGTCAAACAGGCTCATACAATTAGTCCGTAGGCAACCCAGCATAGTCTGCATATACGAATTCACACAGTATCGTTCAGTTATCCTCAGCACTCGAAGCATACATACGTACGTTCGTTGTAATAAATTAAAAATTCAAGTTTTAAGGGCAAGTATCCGGGGAAATCTATTATGTATGAATCACTGCGTAGCTGTAATGGTTACTGAAATTACCCAGTGACAACATCGCCAATAAATGGGAGTGAGTGACTTAACCCTCGTAATGAAAACACCACATATTATAAAAAAGTATGACATTTTCCATACTTTATAGTGGCAGTAAAAGCAATGGTATTCTTGATCAAGGATAATGATTATGAAGTTATATCTACGTGAAATGTATGCAGATGACGTGGACAACGACCATAGCGTGTGGAGTATGTCGCGCGATTGATTTGTTTAACAAAATGGCAGCAGATGCTCCAGCCCTATCATTACGCCAAATTGAACTTATAATTAGGCAGCAATAATCTAACTATACCACCAAAAAAATTTACTGTCGCCAAAATTGTAGGATTCCTTATACAAAATTTTCCTATTTTTTGGCTTATAATGCCAAACGAAAATTTGGAAATAATATACAAATAAGTCAAAATAAAGGATCAGTCAGTTCCAGTTTGTTTCATCACAAAGTATTACTGATTGACAGTGATACAGATAAATTAGCGGAGATATTAATTTAGGATCACATGTATGGACCTTGAGGATTCAGTGCCGTTTCATATATGATATCTTTTCGGATTTTAAACAATAACGCTTCTTTGAGAAACGTCCAAGGAACATTTAACATTTGCATTTCACAGTTGACATCACATGTCAGAAAGAGTGTTCTCTCCTGGCTACATAGCATTTTGCTGGCATATTTTAGATGGTTTGGTTGTTTTAGCTAAATTTTAGTAAATAATACATCAAAGTAAAGAAAATAGTGTGCTTTTTCATTTTTATATCGATTAACAAGCCCATAGACACGTTATTTCTGTCTCTATCAAACTCATTAGCCAGATGATTGTAGCGAGATCCTAATTGGAATCGTTTTATCAAGTACCGTGTAAAAGCTGATCGAGGAGAGTCGAAAACTAACTTTACGATACTTAATAACATTATTCGCACCATTGACTCACTAACACGCATAAAAATATTAAATTTAATCAATAAATTTTGTACAGCGAGCACAAGAAATACGTTCTCAAGGCCTCAGTTTGATGGAGGGGGGTAGGCACAACTGATCAATTCAACATCCAATCAAAATTAAAACACCAGTAGGTACCTATGTACTAACCATTTCAGTAATTAGTAATTTCCATTTTTGACTGTTGTGCGAATATCATAGAGTATAAGAAAAATTAGTTTCCCAAAGAAATTTAGTCAGAAATAGCTTATATTATTTTACATTTTAATTTTTACAGATATGTAGTTGTAGTGTAAGTTGGTTTTGGTTAACGGTAGTCGGCATCAGGTCCCCCCCTGACCCATGGAACTAGAAGGGGGGCATGACCTCCCGTGAGAATCAGATTGCCCTGAAAAATGTGCATACTCAGCTTGACTATGTATACAATATTTGAGATTTTTAAGATTCTCTATCCTCCGCTGTTCAAAAATGTTTAAGAGCTGAAATTATTTAATAGCATCTCTTATTGGTCTGTCGCTCTGGTAAAAATCTCTTTGGGCGCACATGAGGTGAACTAATCCATACTTCGACTTTATTCGCACTATGAATTATCCACTGACTCTGGTGCGACGGATAAAGGTTGTCGCTATGAACTAACTAACTGTGAATAAGTGCCGTGAGGGGGATCAGTGACCGAAAAGAACAATAATTATTGATTCCCAATGGGCAGGGCACTTGTCTCGTCCTTAGGATCTAGCTGCCATATGCCTCAGTATTATACGTAAAGCGTATGAGGGACTCGTCTAGCCCTCTTCTTATGAAGAATACGAGGGATGTCTTTCAAGTTTTGCATATAGAAACATAGTAGGCCGCGCGGATCGAACGTCAGTACTAAATCTTAACCTCACTCTTTAGTAAACTTAAATTCAAAGTTTCACAACAATACGTCATTAGAAAAATGGAACTCAACCGAGAACATTTTCACGCCATAATTTATTACAACTTTCAGAAACAATTATCGCAACAAGAATGCCTTGCTGAGTTACTGCCTGTTTTCGGCCACGTCAGTCGACAATTTCCCGTTGGTATGAAAGAATTCAAACGTGGACGGGTGAGTCTTAGCGACGATCCCAGGGTGGGTGCACCAAAAACGGCAGTCACCCAGGAAAACGTCGATGCTGTTCGCAAACTCATCATTGAAGATAGACATGTGACATGTCGCGAGGTTGAGGCGTCCTTGAAGATCTCAAAGACCTCAGTTCAAAAAATATTACATGAAGAATTAGGAGTAAGAAAATTAGTTTCTCGTTGGATACCCCACCTGTTGACTGAAGAGCAGAAAGCAGCCAGGGTTAATTGGTGTCAAAAAACGCTTGACTGTTTCAATTCCGGAAACTCAAAAAATGTGTACAGCATTGTTAGTGGCGATGAATCGTGGATTTACTGTTATGAACCAGAAAATAAACGACAGTCGGCTGTTTGGGTGTCATCACCGAGCTTCGAAAAATCAACCCCGAAAGATAAATTATCCTCCACCAAGACAGTGCAAGCTCGCACACAGCCCAAAAAACAAGGCAGTATTTAACGGAAGAAAACGTAGAATTATTGGACCATCCTCCATATAGTCCCGATCTAAGTCCTAACGATTTCGTAACTTTTCCAAAAATTAAAAACAGACTGCGTGGTCAAAGGTTCCAGCCACCAGAAGAAGCAGTTGACGCATTCAAAAATGCCGTTTTGGATCTGCCAGCATACGAGTGGAATAAGTGCTTCGAAAATTGGTTCGAGCGCATACAGATGTGTATTAATCTTCGTGGAGAATACTTCAAAAAACAATAAAGTCATTTAAAACTACCTACCGTATTGTTTTATTTCCATATGCAAAACTTAAAAGACATCCCTCGTAGAGGTGACTTAACACCATATGTAGTGAGACTTCAAACCACGATTTTAACGCATTCTAACTGAAAACTTGTCACAGATATCTATCTCTCTCGGCTTTACAATAATTGAGAATCTACTTTGAACAGGGTTGGCGCTGTAGCCAACTATATATGAGCACATAGCGCCATCTACGAGACACTAAGGTTTTCAAAGTAGATTTCGAATAATTGCGGAGAGGATAAAGATAGCTGTGACAAGTCCTCATAGAGGGTAATTTTTCGGATGCGCGAATATATGTAGCTCTCTTCGTGTAGAATACGTTAATCAATGCTTTGGCAGTATGGTACACGAGTCGTTCAGCTGAAAACTTTACACCATGTCTTCTTCCGAGACAGCTCCTGACTCGTGACCCTCCATCATACATCCCTAAAACAAAAGTGAATCTGAGCACACTGGGATGATAAAGTGGTATAACGTTGTTTTTAGCGATAATCTCGGTTCTGATTAGGAATGCATGATGTACTGGCATGGGTCAGAAGACGTCGCAGAGCAAGACGTGATGTAAAGTTTTCAGTCACTTCGATTAGTTTCCACTAGAGGAGGTATGAGGGCGCAACGGTATATCCAGGAAATAATGGAACACCATTTTCTACTGTTCGTCGAAGCGACTGAGGACCATATTTTCTAACAAAATAACGCCCCAGGTCCAGGCCCACCCGTCAGGCATAAGATCGTAAGATGGGTGCTTTTGTCGCTCGACAACACGACTTGTTTACTGCGGTTGCACTCAAGTGAAGTTAAGCGAGCTTGTTTCCAGTTCTTTCGCGTCTCTTCCAGCTATCTTACGAATCTGGACAGCTGGAAATTTGCTCTTGTCCAGCCTGTCCCAAAAAAGCATCTAACACTGGCCCTTATAACTACAGGTCCATAGCTCTTCTTTCTGGTGCAGCTAAGGTGATGGATTAACGGCACCAGAGATTAACGTGAGTCTTCCTAGCTTACATCATATAACTGTGGAGTAAACTTATCCTGTCATATGGTGAAGCTCATACCGTTGCATTCGATCACCTGTATCATGCTGCCCTCTTATGCAAACTTCCATCGTATGGCTTCCCTGAGAAGCTTTGCACGCGGGTGGCTGACTTTTCCTTTGCGTAAGATATCCATCGTAATTGACGGGTTCTCCTCTTCATTCGACAATAACAACACGGGTGTTCCTCAGGGATCGACCTTGGCTGACATTGTTTCTATTGCGTATCAATGACCTCATTTCCTATACGTTCATTTCGGCTAGTCGAAGTCCAGATCACAGAGGACATGGTCTGGCACGAATAAGTCTCGTTAATTTATTTCGAGCTAAGAATTACTTTTTTCGACATGACCTTCTTGCCCTGTGAAAGGTCCAGATAAGGTCTAGTCTCGGGTACTACTCACATATTTGGGGTGCTTCTGCCCCGGCTACATTCTCCTTGCTCGATGCTGATTAGAGGAGGACTATCTGGTTGAGTGTTCTATAACGGACAGTCTTGGGACAGGCCGTCCGCGATCTGGCTCTCTTCTACCGCTATGTCAACGGACTTTGTTCCTAAAGGCTCGCGGGTACGACCTGCCGTTCCTCCTCAGGTGTCAATGGTGGTTTTGCCTATCTGTATGCAAAACTTCATTCCGATAAAATCATTTTACTGGCTGTACTGTTTTCTTTGTCACGATTTTCGATTCTTCGACGTGTCGTATCATTCGGAACATCACTTTTTGCAATATTATTAATTTTTTTCCTTTATTTCAGGCTCATCGCGCGCAAACCCTCGGTAGTGCGTTCGTCAACTCGTGATCCGCGTTCGCAGCAACTCTTCGGTTCGTGTGTATATGATGGCAAGCGAGAACCTCGTCGGCCTTTTCCACCGCCAAAATGATATCTTTAGCTATGAGAAGGGAAGATAGGCCGTCGACGTCTTCCAAACTACCTCCTTCCACGTCTACAGATGAATTCGTCGACATACTACAGGTAGGTACAACATGATACTGGTTTTTTACTATTTTTTATTACACTTTATTAAAGAAAAAACAAAGGAACATAACTAGTAGCTGTAACCACAGCGACCACCGGAAAATGGCCGGTAGCGAAGAAGTATTGTAATCGCGCCAAATTTTGAAAATAAGGCCCGTATCGTCAGTCGTCCCTACAATTGTAGGGCGCCTTTATGGCCTCCTTGATTGTCATAGTTTTCTACTTCTCCGTGTCAGCGCTCTATTTTGAGGTTATGTCTATTCGCATCAAATTGTGCTTGCTTTTGAGTTATATCATGTTTTATCAGCCTGAAATTTCCTACAATTTAAAAAGAAAACATATCTTCACAATAGGAGAGCGCTGACGCTGACACGGGACAAGTGTAATCTAGAAATTTTTGAAGGAGAGAAAGGAGTATGACAATCAAGGAGGCCATAAACGCGCCCTACAGTTGTAGGGACGACTGACGATACGAGCCTAAGATATTATGTTCTTGGAGGTTATATGACATGTACATCACGAAAAAGTATGTCACTCATTTCCGTCTGTCTGTCGGTCTGTCTGTCCGCTAATCCTTGACCCCTCTATAGCTTGGAAGGTACAAGTCAGATTTTGATTAAATTTTCACACAAGGACGATAAATCTTTCTCGTTTTTAAAAATCAATCCAGTGGTGGCGGAGTAAGGTATAAGAAACAAAAAAAAATAAATATCGCTAAAAGTTCTTGCTTTGATGTTCAGAGGCTTCTGATCATTTCCAGAAAAAGATTTAGGAGTTGGGAGTTATAGGGGGAAGGCGTTGTACATGTTGCATTTTTGATATCAGTGAAAGACGTTCAGTTATTCTTAAATGTGTGATCCAGTATTACCATTATAATATCATGTTACATTCCCGATAGCTGTATAACGGCAATAAAGGGGCTACAGATAGCATTTCGTTCTTCATTTGGAGTCTTTGAGATTAAAAGCAGCAGTATCCGAACCCGCAGAAGCATGCTTTCCAAATAGCTCGTTAAAGATAAAGTGACTTTCTTAACTGCTGGTATCGGAACCATTGAGTTTGGGCATTGGTTATCGTATTCCAGCTAAAGATAGCCAAACTAATAGTATATTCGTGCATCTGAAAAGTTATCAAAGATGATGCGAGATGCTGTATTTGAGATACGGCTACAGCTTTTATTTAGTTTTCATAACATTCATTAATTGATTATTACATTCTAAATTTATTCAATTATAATTGTCTTTTATAAGAGACGCAAAATGTCTATTTTTATTCAAAATTTTTTTCCGCTCAAATTTGAGTGCTAGAGAACACAAAATCAGCAGTATATCTCCCTTTTTGTCCACTTTGAGCACAGTGCAGCAAGTGCATGTAGTGTATTGGCACTAAACTATGACTGTTTATTACGTATATATTGTATAGATGTCGAAATATTCCCATAAAAGAACCAAGTTTTAGTGTTTTATAATTAAGCAGGCTTGAAAGCAACCTTAGCTGTACATGGTACATGCAATAGCGACCATATGAGGGGAGGAGAAGAAAATATGGAGCATATTAGATGTTACAACAATTTGTGTAGAAAAAAATAAGATAGAAAAAAGACGCTGTACAAGCTATAAACTGCTACTAGCACGAATATTTTATATAAATTTTAAGCTTTACATTTAACTTGGCAACGTTCTGTGCCGTCAAATATCCACCGACTAGCAAGAATACTAAAAATTGAATAGAACAAGCAAATACCTCGTAAGTTTCACATTTGCCACCCTTTTAGCACCATATCTATAATCTACAGCCCAAAAGTACGAGTAGTATCTACATTGACGGAGAAAAAATTTAGTCTTTTAAGTGCAAGAGGTACCCATTTGATAGGCGCCGACCAAGATCAAGGTAACAGTAGACCGCTGCTCCTCGAAGCGACCTTTTATTTCTAGGTGGTTCTGAGATGCACCATTCCAATCCATCATAAACGTGACTACATGGTTAAGATCATAAAATTCCTTACAGGTTCAGCAACTGCTGATAAATGACGGCCGGCGTGATAGCCACCAACCTGGACCCCCAGGGGTCCCCCCATCATCGATGGGCGGCGACCAAGGTCAATATCAAAATAGGCCGCCACCCCTCGAAGCGGTCACCTATTACTATGGGGGCCCCCAGGGGCATCATTTCCATCCAACAACACCAGGCAGCGCCAGTGTGGACGAGCTGGTGGCTCTGTGGCTCTCTTCTGGAGCAACGCCATCTGGTGAGTATTTTTAATGCTTCTATTTTTTTTTGTTATGATGTTAGCGGCAATCTTTGCTATGACTTTAGGTGAAAATTGAATTATGGAGCTGTGGACATTATTACCCTAACAGGGATTTTGGGGGTCAGAAAAATTAAAATAACGGTCTGAATTCTGGCATCGCAGTCTGCTGCCAAAATGAAAGACACTAGCAAAACATACCATAAGCCTCGTGTCTTTGAATATGGTGCGCACGGATATAAAGGCACGCCCGCCGCATCAGTAGTGGAGTACGTTGTATTATACTACTGACTGCCATTTTGATACCTAATATCCCTATAGTTAAAATTACTAGGAACAAAAATCAGATATCACCTTAAAATGTAAAAATATTTTCTCCATAACAGGAAAAATATGAGATATTTTATAATGAAATATTTTTTATGCTAGAGCCACCACGTAGTCCTAAGGCCTAAATACTTAATTTGCAGAAATTTACTATAGGAATAGCGTTCAACACATTGACGTCTTACCCATATAGACCCTGCAAGTCATTGATAAGTCTGCCGTTTGTTATGTTCACGAACCTCAGTGGCGGGAAATACCAACTTTTATTCATAATTTTATCAAATTGACACCAGGCCTGGAACAGCACAAGGCTCAAGGGTAAGATGTCAATAGTTCCAAACTATTCACATCATTTTACTTCCTACGCTACTGGGCGAGGTATTGTAATATAAGGTATTGTGTCTTTTGGATTATATATGACAGGTACACACGAGAAACCATGTCGCTCGTTTCCGTCGGTCTGATGACGGTCATTGGCCCGTCTATAACTTGAGAAGTACCACTCGGATTTTGATGTCCGGCTGACTAATCTATCCGTACTGTAGCACAGAAGACACGGACTCTGAACGAAATGAATGATAACTCGCTGCAGCGATTCCGCTCTTGGCGCTCTCTTGCAGATGTGGAAACGGACAACGTTGCCAGATGGACAGAAACTACCGACTGACTTAATTCGTTAAATGTTACTGTTGTAGATGTTACTAACTACCTTTTTTCACTGAGGGTTTGATTTGTGATGAACTCAATCTTTTATGAACTTATGACGGAGTCAGAGTCAACCTACTTGACGCCATTTTTTTATTTTGTATTTTGCGTGAGAAGGCTAAGGAGGAAGATGTAAGTAGACTATGGTTTGATGGGTATGTATTTCGAGTCATACTGAACGTGACCATTTATCTTTTGACTCAGCTTATATGTATGTATGTCAATTAGTAGAACCGATTATCGGTATTCAAATCTGAAGGGCCCAGTTGTGGGTCTTCAGCTTCTTGTCCTGTACCTATTAGACATATTTGACACATCATAGGTTTGAAAACTTAGTATGATGTTTTCCACGCGAGTCTGTGTTCACCAGCTGGCATCCCGGTCTCGATGAGTGTCGTGCTATTACTGCCCCGATGGAGCGCTGCCAAGGATGACTCTACATGCGGTCAGGTGTGGACGAGAGGCGACGTTGCCAGATAGACGGTACTGCCGGTAGTGCAGGAAAATAATATATATGGACCTATTTGACGGACTAGATCCGTTTAATTTCTCTTATATACATGTTCGTAGCTAACTTGTTTCTCAAAGGATCTAAGTTGTCCTGAACATAATCATTTATGAACTGATGACGACGTTGCATGGGACGTGCAGAGTCAACCTACTGGACACCATCCTTTGTCCTTGGCATAGTCGTAGCACAGGCACTTTCCAAATTATAGCGGCGACCAGGATTAGCCGACAAGAATGAGTGACATGGTTTTTCGTCATGTATGTACATGTCTATGACATGTGAGATCCGCAAAACATAATAACTCATTGTCGCAATTACAATACTTCCTCGCCATTGGCGAGGGAAGTAAAACGTCATTTTTATGCCTCGTAACATTACGATCACACTTCTAAGTCCCCCGGAAACATACTTGATTGAGTCTGCCTCATCAAATGTCTTCCTGTTTATCCTAAACAGATCAGAAAGAGCAATGAAACCTGAAATAATCGCTTACGCCCTAACAGGGCATTAACAACCTGTTTTTTCCGCTGTGCCATTGGGCGTAGGTCGCAAAAAGTTCAACAGCATTGAGGAAGGTATTACGCCTGTTTACGAAAGATCAGTCGTTATTATGAAGCTGGAAGCTGGAAAGGGCACCTGCTTCCAGCTCCCACCAGGGATTTTTTGCTCTTTTCAGGGTTGCATGTACGTTGTATACAAAATGCTCTTGACATTTCCGTGAAAAAGTCCGGGTTATTTATATAGATATAATATGTCTTTGAAACACAAAGGGATTTGATATGGTCAGAGATTTCAGGGTCGGCAGACCTTCAGCATTTTAATGATATGCTGCGACTAAGCTGCGTTCTCACGATGCGGGCAAGCTAGCGTGATCTTCGCGTTCGTGGAATTGTCTCCATCTGAACGAAGTGTCGTGAGTTTGTCTCTGACAGTAACGGAAGAGAAGCAAGTCCGCGACCGCTCACGCTAGGCATCAAACACATTTGATTTTCAGGCATGGACACACCAGTAGAGAATGACGGAGTTCGTGATCTGCCTTTGAAATGTACAATGAAACGCGTTTCAGCAAAATATCGAACTGACATTTGTACCATTTTTTTTTTAAATCTTCAGTGTATCCATTTCTTAGTTCAGCGACTGCCGCAATCGCTTTAATTTTTATATCTACCCAAGTGCCCTGCAACCTTGTCGCTAACATATCACTTAAATATGAACTCAAACGAGCGCAACTGTAAATCAGAAGCACCTTCATTAAATGAACTGAATCGAGATCTTGTGAACTGTCGACGCTCGCAGGATAACTTCACGCTCCACCCAAGACAAGAGTCACGAAAGAGAGATCGAACGCGTGCCACGCTGTAGTCACGTGGGAACGTCGCTTTACCCTCCGAAGTAGAAGGCGAGGGGTGACGGGTGACGATTAATTTATATTTTTCAGAACGTCGGGTACGGGTTGCGAGTTGCAGACCCATAAAAGGAGTAAATCGGGTTGCCAGATGGGTCAGATAAAATCAAAACATATTGCTCAGTTTTTTCCATAGTGATGAATTTCTTCCGAACGATCATTTCCAGTGGAGTAGATCAGCTTAGCGCGAATCTAGGCAAATTTATGTGGGTGACTGTATTTGAGAGTGATATTCAGAAATTCATTGTTGGACAGAACCAAATATACTACCCTATTCAAGTGGTATTTACGTAATCTTCGCGCTCGTATATTGTCACGAACCCGTGTTTGTTTGTTTTGTTGGGGCGTGAATACATTTTGAATATGGTATACCGGGTGTCTCAAATTTGACTCTCATCATTGGAAACGATAAGAGATACGAAGTCGGTTAAATGGGAGCGAAGTTGAGCATTAAGGTAACTAAGAAGACAACACTTGAATAGTTCCGTAATTCCGAGTATTTCCGGAGATAGACGACGGCAGCTGAATTTTACCGATTTCGTTTTTATTTCTTCCTGGCTGTATTTGAGATGAAATTCCAATATAAACAGCTTTTTCTTGTCTGGTAAGAGTCACCTTGTATAAGGTATAAAAGTGAAAAGTTTAAAAATAAAATACTCGTAAAAACCCTCAAAAGTCACCAAGCGTTCTATTTCCCCCCAAAAGAACTCTCTAGAACATTGTCCCTCAAAAATTCTCCGAAAGGGAAAACCCACGACAATGACCGACATATTTTTGAGGGGGCACTTCTGAGAGCAGAGGGCGTCACCTAACTTTTAAAAAATGCTGGGGGTGGACACTGCATTAATACTTCTGAGAGCGCAGGTGGCGACGGCTACATCAGTGCTTCTGAGAGCGGAGTCGCCAGCGACTGAAGAGCGGAGGGGGATGATGACGGTTTCAGCTGTGCTTCCTGACTTTTTGAAGAGAACTCTCTCTCTCTCCCAGTTCACTAGCTTGAGGTGTGACTTTTTTAGACACTAATGCTTATGATCATAACTTAGACGTAAATAGATAACTGCATCTCATGAACAAGGCGCTGGTATATTGGTCTGGGCTCTGGATGCAAATGATGTTTATATTCACTATTTCCTGATCTTCTGTAACCTTACAGCCTTTTTCTGACATGTAACACTTCGAACACTTTCGAAAAGATTTTTCGCCCAGAAAGGACAATAATGATTTACTGTACCTAACTATAAAGAGCTACGTCAACATGTCTATACACCAAATCAATACCTACAAATTTCATTTGCTATTGTTGACAAATAATCGACATGTGTTCATATCGTCACTACATTTATGATACCCCTCTGAATTACGTAAATGGTATATAAGATTATCTATACGATTTGTTTGTCGATGGATGTTTGCACCTTCGATGACGTAGGGTTTTATATTGATAGAGTATCACTTACCATCTACGCTACATGCAGGAGGCCTGCTGTAAACCATGAACAAAATGCAGCAACGATCGGAAGGTAAAGCGAATAACTAGTTTTCCGCGTTCATGTAAAGAAAACTTTTACTCTGTGAGTACGGGAAAAATAATTTAGGGTTAGTCCTCAAATCTGAATTTGTTTCTCTTGCAAGCTCCTACCAAAGGTTGCTTAGAAAGGTATATTATTCAAATTCACGTTTGTAAGAAATTCAAAATCTCATTATTGAAGATAGGTGTTTAAATTTCGAAAAATCACCTAGTATAATCGCTGCCATACTATACCCGACAGGAGCACTGAATTTGAATCCTATAATGCCGTACTGAAAGGTAGTAAAGAGTAAAAATCGCCCGAGAAAATTGAGATAAAAAATTCTGGATTCCTTTCGAACTAAATGAAAAGTATCATTACGACAGAACAATGAATGAATGAATTTTGCATAGTTACAAGACTTCGTAGTGAGTCATTTAAATGTGATTTTGGATCGTAATTGTTGTCGAGGTCTAAAGTAAATGGCATTCCGTTTTTAATTGTCGTAAATCAAAATGCAGTAACATGTGATTTACTGCTCTTA